GCACAGCTGGGGTGGGGGCTGCCGTTGCTCAGGATAGCAGAGGGCAGATCTGCTCTCAGCACCTCACGGGACACCCAGGCACACGTGCCTGCCTGGAGCAGGTGGACGGTGGCCAGGGGTCAGGGACGGGGGCGGCCTGGAGGCTCACTCCAACCCACAGGGCTGCGGGGGAGGGGAGCTAGTGACCACTACTGTGCCGCGTCCTGGGCTGGTAACCGAGCACCACCAATGAAGGGCTGAACAAGACAAGGAGCCGAGGGGGAAACGGGTGGGCAAACACATCCACGGTTTACACTCTCTGAAGGGAAGGGGGCACACACCCCCTCATGCCAGCCTCCCAGTGGAGCTGGAATAAGCCAACCCCTGCCTCCAGCACCGGTCTCTAAGGCAGTGGTGACAGCGGTGACCCCTCTGCGGTCTGGCTGCCTGGAGGGACCCGGGACAGGCTTTCTTCTCGGAGTTCTAGGCAGGGACTTACATTCGTGCACTCTCCCCCTTTATAAAAAACAGTGGTGTCCACGTGCCCTGTTGCACACCTCCCATTTGCCGTAACGCACCCCATGCCGAGGCAGGGCGTCCTCCTGTCCTTGGTAGCAGCCTTACTGAGACATGTTTACATGGTGTACCACTCGCCCATGCAAAGCATACAATTCAGAGGTCTCCTGCCTGTCAGTGGTTGATTTTAGCGCATTTGCATTACCGTGCTCTATCTTTACAGTTGTGTTGTATTCCATTGTGTGGTTGTGTTAGGCAGGAAAATAGATAAGAAAATAGATAAATGGAGAGAGAATTAAAGCCAGTAAAGCCCACTACAGGGGACTCAGAGTTAACCAGTTAAAACTAGAGAGCTGAAAAAGACTCAGAGCTAATGAATTACTCAGTTAAAGCTCAAAAGGCCAGCAGCATCTTTGCCTGGAATATTTGAATAATCCCCAGATACAGAAAAGTATCTGAGCACAGCCCGTCTTCATTGTGTCAACTAGATCATGCCATTGTGAGATTTACTGTAGCCCACTAAAAGGCCCAGCTACAAACAGCATAATAAAGATAGAAAAATTTTCATCTTAAAGCTAAAATTGCATTTTAAAACCCAAAAAGTTAAGAAGTAAGATTCTTAACATACTCTAGCAAACAGACAATAGCTCAGCCCACCTTGGGGGCAGGGCAGGCAGTCTTGATTGACATGCTCCTAGACCAGGAAGCTGCTACCCTGGGAGGGGACCAAAACAGTGCATTTCTTATGTTAATTTTGCAAAACTACCTGGAAGACTGATAAGAAGAGACTTAATGTCTCATCAAAGATAAACATCTTGAGACCACTTAACACGTCCACACCCCTACCCCTTTGTCCCATTCCTGAAAAACCCTTAAAAGGGGGAACCCCAAATCTTTCAGTGCGCACCTCTCTCTGAGGTTGCCTGCAGTTTTTAAGTGTGTAGCCTTAAACCTTTTCTCAACCTTTAGGGGCGCCTCTCCTCCCTGAGGTCACCTGCACTTTTTCTCTCTTTAGGTGATTTTAAATAAAACTTTCGGTCTGCTTCACTACTGTGTCTCTGCCCTTCAATTCTTTGTCGCGGCAGGGACAAGAACGGAGGAAAATAAACAACGCCCCCCTAACAGTTGAACCACAGTTTCCTTAACCAGCTTCCTACAGATCTGCCGAAGTTTGTAAGACCCCCAAAAGACGCTTCCCTGGCGGGGGTGTGCCTGACTTCAACCCTGAGCGCTCATAGCAGGGGTGCGGGGTTATTGCATAAGGGTCTGTCTCCCCGACTGGGCAGGAAGCTCCAGGGGAAGCGGATGGCCCCTGTTCAGCTCACGGTGACCTCAGGGTCTGTGGGCAGCAGGTGCACATGGCGAACGGGGCAAGACCAGGACCTCTGTGTCTACAGCCCCATGGAAGGTGTGGGCAGCAGGGGCCAGTGGGAGAGGCTGAGGTGCAGCAGGCCCAGGTGTGGACCAAAACCACCCGACCTCATTTAAACAGGGCTGAACCCCCTTTCCCCGTGCAAGGAGGGGACATGCGTGATGTCCCCATTTCTGTGACAGGTGGACACAGACCCTCGCCTTCCCTTTGCCTCGGCTACGACGAGCGGACCTGCTCATGCCCACCCACCCATCAGACCAAAACACTCGTCGGCCGGGCTCTGGTTCAGCTTCTCTGCTTCCTCCGACCCTGAACCTGAGCCCTCCGCTGGAGCAGGCAGATAGGCCGGTCCCAGGGAGCACTTTCTGCCCACTGCCCCGCCCAGCCGCCCTCGCCTGGCAGCCACCCTGCCTCTTTGCAGCCTGTCCTCTCCTCCCACAGAACAGAGACCTTTTGCCAGACCTGCGCTGCTGGCACCCCTCACCGCCGTAACAGAGCCCCCCAAGCGAGAGCCCCTCTGGGGCAATCCTGCTGAGGAAGTCCCTCTTACACAGTCCACATGTGGTGTTCATTGGACGTTCCCTCCCTGTGCAATTCACAGCCCGACGACGCAAGGGACTGCGCCAAGCCCAGAAAGGAAATGGGAGCAGCTTGAATGGAGGAAGTTGGGACTCAGCCCCCCACGGCTCTAAGACCAGCAGGGCTGCCCCACAGGGGCGTCAGAAGCCTGGAGAAATGACCAGTCGGGGGGAGGGCAGCATTCATTTCTGATGCCCTCATGCTGCCAGGGTGGCCCAGGATAAGGCGACCCTTTGGAGATGCTGGGGACATGGTCACTAGCGGGAGATCAGCTTCCCGGGCTGTGCAACAAAGTGGATACACCAGGCCTCTTGTCAAGATGAAGATTTTGGTCCAAGACTGGCCTGGACTTGTCCACACGCTCTTTCCAGCCTCGAGTCGGGAGCTGTCAACTGGGTGAAGGAGGCCCCGCAGGGGACTGGTGGGGCTGGAGAGACTGGCCGGGGGTCTGGTGAGGGGCCCTCGCCTCTCAGAGTTTGGAGGGCTGGGGCCATGTGAGCAGGGCCAGGGTGCTGTCAGAGGTAAGAGCCCGCCTGGGGGCACCTGCCGCTCTCCAGCCAGTGGGCAGAGGTCAGCGAGGGAGGGGGAGCCCCTGGAGCCTGAAGCGCCCTCTGTGACCCAGGCAGGGTTTGTTCTCCAGGAAGGCAGGTGGAGACTAGTTCTGCGAGCTGCCTGTTCTCAACACCAGGGCAATGTGTGAACATTTGACTTTAATCACCCAGTTGAGTTCCTACTTGCAGGATTAAGTCACCCTTTGGCTGGAAGAGAAAGATCTGGGTCTTGCCTGAACTGGACCCCTGGAAGTAAAGCAGTGCGTGGCCTGTTCGGATAGTGGCTGAGCGCATGTGAGGAATTTGGGAGCAGTTTCTGGCAGGAGGATGAAGGGTGCCGGGGCCCCAGGAGATCCCCTCCTCTAGGCTCAGACGTGCGTCCGAGTGCGGACAGCATCTTGTGGGTGAGGGCCTCCTTGCCCTGGGCACCGGGTGCCTTGGGCTCAGGACTCAGGTCCTGCCCACCCGCACCATCTCTAGAGTCCGCTGCAAGGACATCAAGGACCCGCAGCCTCTCTGGGGGACAGAGAAATGTCATGGGTTCAGGACGTGTGAAAGGGTGCTGCCGAGAGCAGGGTCAGAAGGGCTCTCTGGGGCCCTGGAGTCAGCTGAGGTTTCCGAGCTCTCCCACTGGCCACGCCACCCCCAGCAGTCCCATCCCACAGCGGCGGAAACCATGCCCGCACGGTGGTTCTGGCAACTTCCAGGGGCAAAGGTGGCTTTGTCATGTCCCTGCCTTGCTGTGGCTGGCCTGATCCCAGCTGTCAGTGGTTCCACATACGTGGCCAATCTGGTGACTCTGGTGGAATTCTCTAAGGACCTGGGGGTCAGAAGCAGTCTCATCCTGCTGCGGCCGGCACCCCAGTCCTCTTGCCTCGGCCTTCTCCGCCAGACACATCCCCGTGCCTCCCCACGCAGGGCGGCTGAGCGGCTGCGGCCCTTCTTGAGCATGCCCGCCCCCAGCCCCTCCTCCCGTCCCTCGGCCTCAAGCCATTTGGGTCAGCTTGAGAACTGTCCTTTCAAGTGTCAAGAACCTTTCCCCTCGGTGACAGTGGAAGGACAGCGGCCCGTCACGTTACCCCACCTCTGTGCAATGACAGGGTTTTCAGGTGCTTCTCACTGTGACCTGCACATCTTGCATGCTGCCCGTTGGGTAGCAGAGCTCCAGCGGTGATGCGCTGCCTGGGTGGCTGGGCTGGGAGAGCCATGGTGGGCACCTGACCTGCTGGGGGCAGCACAGACCGGTGCCCACCGGACAGCCCCCTGCCCACTCAGGCTTTGCAATCCCGCCTCCCACATGTGCGTTTCACAGCCTCTGGGGTCCAGGATGCGGGGGCACCCTGTGTGATCAGGACATTATAAACCACACCTATCTCAGGAGGCAGCTGCCAGTCTGCTCCTGGAGGCACTCCTTGCCCTGAGGCGGCACGGGGACCCCGCTGCCTTTGGGGTGGAGTTGAAGCCTTCAGGGGACATGAAAAGCTGTGGTCCCAGCCTTCTGTGCCCCTGCACCCCTGGCTGGGGCTCACTTGGCAGCTGCTGCGGAGCCCTCTGGCCCTCACTGTGGCTCGGGCTGCAGCTGCCCTGCAACGCCCCTCCCATCAGGGCTCAGCCCCAGCCGTCCTCCAGGCCCCGGTCAAACACCAACGCTCAGAACGCAGTTTGCCCCAACTATGTGAACGCCGTCCTGGAAGGGCCAGTGTGGTGCTCTGCCCTGCTCCCCCCAGGCTGTGAGGAGACGCTCTGAGGACGGCTTAGGAATGAGCAGCAGGCCCGGGGCAGTCCTCACTCACCTCCTGGTGTCCATGTCAGTGCCCCTCCCGAGAGGCACATCTGAGTTCCCACTCCTTTGCCGGCTTTGCCCACCGAGGGACCATCCCCGGGCGGCAGGGCTGCAGGCCTCGAGGAGGCTGCCCCAGGGCACAGGGCGGGCCCTCTAGGGCAGGGGGCCCCGGGAGCATGCCCTGCCCCAGAACTCGGCGCTGAAGAGAAGGACACAGAGGGCCACCAGCAGTACTTTTAATTCTGATGTTTCTTTAAAAACAGAGAAGCCCCCACGAAAAAAACAGAGTTCCCCACCCCAAACTAACCAAGTGTGACGGGTTAGCCACAACAGAATACAGTGAGGCCACAGATGCCATCCTGCCGCAGGGGTGTTGAGCCCTGGCCGGAACACAGTGGCGATGCAGGACAGCCAGGATGCCACGGTGCAGCAAGGATGAGCGGCCGGCCACCCTCCAAATGACTCACTGAGGTGCCGATCAGTGACGTCAGGACACAGCAACCAGAGGAACCATGGGGCTGAGGCTTGCTGTGCCAGGGTTTGGTTTGAAGAGATTAAACCTCATGGATGCCAACGCTCAGGGCACTGGTCAGTATAGTGGTCATAAAGAGCTAAGTCTGTTCGCCAGGCTGTGGGAACAGAGCCCAGGGACCCTACGGCCCACTGTGGGGCCCCAAGGCGCCGGTCTGCAGGCTGCCACAACAGGCCACACGGCTCCCCACATCCCCAGGGCCGTATCCACTCTCCCCAAACTGACAGTCTGACCCAAGATGGTAGCCCACGCGCAGGCCTTGCGGAGGGGTGGCGTCCCGCTCAGATGCTGCTGGACGTCTGTGGACAGGCAGGTGGGCGGCAGTGGCCACCTGCCCAGTCTCTGGAGGTGCACACAGAACCGTGCAGGGACACGCCAACTACTGCCCTGCTTGTGGATGAGAGAACTGGAGCCCGGGGCAGGGGTTCTGCCCGACGCGGAGAACCAGGTCCTCTGGTGGCTTTCTGCCTTCAGGTGTCGGGCTGGACCCCTAGGTGAGAGGACCACAGCCCCAGAGACACTGGGCTCACAAGAGATGTCCATGGAGGTCAGTCCTTATGCATCACGAGCTGCAGGTGGCATAGTCCCAGGGCACAGCAGGTGAGACGAATGTCCAGCCAACTGCTCTTCAGCTCCGTGCCCAGCTCAGGCATCCAAGCTGCCTGTCAGGTCTCTGTCCTGCTGGACCTACGTGGGGGCCCAGCTGGGTAGCAGCAGGCTGGACTGGACGTTTGCACTCTAGGCTCCAGGGAGCCTACATTGGGCCTCTCACGAGGTCTGCTCCTAGACTCGGCTCCACCTCCCAGAGGGAAGGGCCAGCAGCGGGAGCTGCAGGCGCCTGGAATGGCCCGGAGGGAGGCAGGCTGGCCTTCCATGGCGCTGCTCCCCAGGCTGGCTCGGGGGCTCGGCGATTAGGACGCACTGGCTGGCCTGCAGCTGCCTCCCTGGGGAAAATGCCATGGAGCCACGAAAACAAAGCCTGCTTGTGCAGCCTCTCTGGACAGATCCGTTGGGGGAGCCAGATCCTGAGAGCCAGGGCAGCCCCCGCGGCAGGTGCAAAGCCAGCGCGCTGGGAGGGCTTGGCTCCACTTCCCGGCAGGGAACCCATCAGGGGAGGTGCATCTGCTTTTCTTGTCTATTTCCAGATTTTAAGCATGGGGCTTTATCTGAAAACACTAGACCTCGGCTTCAGAACCGGATGCAGAGGAGGCCGAGGGCAGCATCAGACACAGGCCAGGCCTGGTGCGCTGTCCCCAGCCCACCCGCCTGCCCAGGGGAGACGTCCAGGTCCTCCTGTGGCTGTGATCTGCCCCAGGGCAGGAAGTACACAGTTGGGAGCACAAGGGCATGCTGAGTGACGCAGGCCTGTTCTACGTCCCGGGCAGTGCACGCAGAGCTTGGTCCCACTGGGCGAGCTGCTCAGAGGCCCCCATGCGCAGATGCCAGAACCAGGGCCCTCTGCTGAGCTGGGGCCTGCGTCATTTTGTTCTATAAACTTCTCTGAAGGTGGCTGTTGTGTTGAGCTTTCTCTCTTCTGGAGGTCGGGGAGGGATCTACCCTGGGTCTTTAAGGCAGGGACGTAAGCCCTGGTGTTAGTTTTTGCTACCAAGCATGTACAGACACACTACGTCCATGACAACCGAGCACAGGTGCACTGTCCGTGCCAGCCTGTGGCCTGTGCAGCGTGGCCCTGCCGGCTCTCAGGATCCCTGCTGCCGGGACACTGCTGGCCCCTGGGGTCCTGCCTGGGGACAGGACCTGCCCCTCTGGGCCATATTATGCAATGGGGGGCGGGCGGCACAGGAAAACTCTTCTCCCACCTTCCCCCTGTCCATCTCTCTAAAAGAGTCATCTTGGTGGCATCAACCTGATCCAAAATTTAAGTTGCAGAAATAATACAAATAAACAAAGGTGGGAAGGGAAGGGCCCCGAGTGGCAGAAGTCCACGGTGAGTCAGTCCCGGCTGCTTCTCAGCTCAACACGAGGAGGTATTGATGGGAGCGCAACTTCGGTTTAAACTCGTACCAGTTTTCACAGTGGCCCTGGAGCCTGGCCTGGCGCGGGACAGTGCAGGGCACCCAGCTGAGTTGCCTGGAGGTGGGGCCTGGAGTCGCTTTTGAGGGGCTGAGTTGTTTCCACATGACCTTTGTGAACTTTCTTTCTGGCAGCTTCCCGGCAAGTCTTGCTTATGTCTCCTGGGGGACGACCTTCATGAGCTTCTGGCAAAGGACGGTCGTGGAAACTGAGGGAGAGACAGCGAGTCAGCCGTGTGTCACCGGGCCTTCCCACGTTGTTCAAGCAACCAGAAACCCAGAACTCTATGTGAGGCCTCGCCACGTGGACACGTGTACGCAGGCCTGCGCATCACCACCCTGCACTCCTGGTTAGAAGCAGAGATGCACCGCACGTCTGCCCTGACTGGAAGCCACTGGGGGTGTGGCTGAGGGACTCAGCAATGGGCAGCAGCTGGCTCCACCCCTCACCCTATTTCAGACCCCAGCATGTTCAGGAGTCCCACTGCTGGAGGACTGGGACAGGCCTTTCCCGAGGGTCCACCCTGAGCCTCCGGCTGGTGGGCAAACGGGACTGGCAGCAAGCACACACCCCGTGCCTGCCCCAGTAACAGCGCACGCCTGCGGCCCTGCAGACAGGCCATAGCAGCGGGGCGTGGGCAGCGGGTCAGGGGACACCTGTCACCCTGGACTCCAAGCACCTGCTCTGGGGGTCTGGCTTCCGGACACAGGGGCATGTGCAGAGATAATAAAAGGGGCCCGTGGTCAGGGATGCAGGCACGACTCTGACAAGTGACGTCATCTTGTCACCAGGCAGCTGCTGATCAGAACCTGAGGATGGCCATCAGGGTGCAGGCCCACGGCCACCAGGGACTTTCCCCATCAACCACAGTCCCTGCACAGGGTCCCAGACTCAGTGTCTATGTCAGCCCTGTGACAGTGGAGCAGAGATGCTGTTCCTCTGCCTGTCTAGGCCGAATGGCTGTGTTTAAGCTGGTGACAGACGGTGGGATTTTGTTACTTGGCAAAAGCAGCCTCGTTTTCTGGAATCCCTTGTTCTGAGATTAGCTGGTGCCAAGCCGAGCATCTTACGCCTACAATACGTGGCTGGACGTCACTGCCAGACACACGATGCCCAGGCCCTCGGTCGGTGCCGTAAGTGCCTGCTGCCCAGCTCGCCCGCTGCTGGCCCCTCAGCTGGCGCCTGACGCTGCCCTCCCGGCTGCTCCCAGCCACCTGCTGTGGGGCAAGGACAGGCTGCGGGGGACACTCACAGATGCCCTGGAGGAGCCACTTGGGCTTGTTTTTCCAGCAGACCCCTGAGAAGTAGACCGGCAGGCCACTGAGGATTATGGCGAAGCCGATGCCACACTCGATGGGGGTCTTCCAGAAGGAGACGGCGATCAGGAACAGGCAGGCCAGCACGAACAACACCGGGAGGGCCAGGTTCACCTGGGGACAGGGGCGGAGTGGTGCGTGTTGCCCGAGCTGGCGCCAGCTGCCGGTCACGTGGCACCCTTGCCCTTCCTCCTGCCCACGGCCCAGCCGTGCCACCAGCTCCATGCCCACTCCCCTCCCTGCCCAGGGCTGTCTAGTGCGTACATGGCTGACCTAAGCCACTTTTCTCTGCATCTTGGGCTTGACGGTTAAGACCCCCACCCCCGCCCGGTTCTCTGTGAATCCTTCACTCTGCACGCAGTGCCAGGTGCAGAAGCCGAGGGGTGGACAGAAATAACCAGGTCGTTCCCTTCAGGTTTCCTAAGGTCAGGGAAAATTTGCCTCACTGGGTTCCACATCACGGTGGAAACCCGGGCCTGGCACCCCACCCGTGGTCATGCAGAGGAGTGGGCCTGGTGCTTCTGGGAGGACCAGGGCTGACCACTAATAATGCAGGGGCACCATGTTCTCAGAGAGCCCTTTGTGGACAGGCTGAACCACAGTCTGCACGGCCATTTGGCAGACAGGCACCCCCGCAGGGCTCAGGGCAGAGGAGCCAGAGAGGCGCCCACAGCCCGGCACAGCTCCAGCGGTGCCTTCCAGCCTCTGCACGCACTGGGCCTTCAGCAAGGCAGGCTTGCCTGTACACGGGGTCTGCTGTCTACACACTGGCAAGACAGCCCAGGAGATGAAAGGCAAGCTTGGTCCCACCAAGTCAAACCAGACTGCATGCCCTCCTCCCACCCAGCCCCACAGGGACACAGCATGCCATGGGCCCAGACTGACGGGGGCCAGAGCACCCAACAGGTCCAGGCTGACAGGGCACAGAGCGCCCACAGGCAGGAGTAAGGTGTTCCATAGCACTGAGGTCTCCCTCACCACCCCGGGGAGAACCTCTCGCAGGCAGGGCAGCGGGGCCCTGATGGCCTCTGTGGGACTGCCGGATGGGGGCTGGAGGAGGCCTGTGAATAGGTATAGACATGCCACCAAGAACTGGATGGGGATAAGCTGCTGGCCAGCAGCCACCCTGAGCTCTGCCCTGTGATGTGCCAGGGCCTCACCAGCAGGAGAGTGGCCTCCATCAGTGCCCCCCCCTTGGAGAGAGGAGGTCACCCCTAGGCAGCTGTCCCCACTACTGAGTTGACGGGGTCAGAGAGTGTACCTCTAGGCCGGGGTCGGCAGCACCCCTACTTCCTCCGAAACTGCTGAGGCCAGGGTGGGTGCAGTGGGCAGCCAAGCCTGGTGATGCCTCACCAGTCAGGCAGCACCAGTCCCAGCTATGCCCTGTCCAGAGGGCACGTGGCCCCTTGCCTGCACTCACATGCCTCTGCCAGTCAGGCCCTCCCCTGCCTGCCCCGGGGTCCTCAGGCTTCCTGAGTGCCAACCCGCCCCTCACCGGATTACATGCCCGCGGAGGGCAGGGATATGGGGCCTGGTGGGTCTGGCGGGGAACCCCAGCACCTGGAGCGTGCGCTTGGCCCTCAAGATGTTCCCAACGTCATCTACTGGCTTAGTGACCCACCAGGTCTGTTTCAGAGGCACAGTCACACGCCTACGCTGTCAGTCATGACCAGACCTCTGGAGAAGGTGCCCCGACCCTGGGTTACCAGGGGGATGGAGTCTAGACAGGGTGGCTGGCTGGGCACGGACCGGAGCTGTGTGGGCGCTGGCCTCACCTTGATGGGCCGTGGCAGCTCGGGCTCCCTGTAGCGCAGCCACAGCATCCCGATGATGGCCAGGGCCACGCACAGCCAGTTGAAGAAGCTGAAGAAGTTGATGACGGAGAACACGTCCCTCGAGAAGGCGTAAAGCAGGGTCATGACGCACTGCGGGCAGAGAAGTGGGCGGGTGAGCCCTGGGGGCCACTGGGGCACGGCTCTGCCGCGGGGCTGACAGCCTCTGCGCGCTCCTGCTTGGCAGGAAGGCCTGGTCTGAGCGGCACACGAGGGATCTGGGAACAGAGGCAGGCGCAAGAGGGGAAGCGGCAAAGGTGCCCAAGGGCGGAGAGGCGGCTGCAGGGCCAAACACACCGCCTCCTGCTGGGAGCCCAGGACAACCCCGGAGGGACAACCCTCCCAGGGACTGTCCCAGTTCAGTCAGCCGGCAGCCCTCCTGGGGACGGAGGGCAGCGGACAGTGCTGCTGACTTACCGTGAACACCAGGGAGGGCATGGGTGTCAGGAGCTGCGGGTGGATCATGGAGAGGATGGAGGGCAGGTGGCCCTCCCTGGCCCCAACAAAGAACAGCCTGTGGACAGAGCAGCAGGCTGTGGCCTCTGCCCTATGCCCCCAGGCAGGGCAGGGGCAAGAGGGCCTGTGCCTGCAGGTATGGCTCCCCGGCGGCCTCTCATCCCCTATCAACTGAGCCTGCGAGAAACTCAGGGCCCTTGGCACCCCAGGCATCTGGTCAGGGCGTGGGAACCCAGCAGGGGGTCTGGAGGGCCCAGGAAGGAGCCTTCCTGTCCTTTACTCCTGTGACCTGATGTTTTCACAGCTGCCAAGTGACTCAACTTAACAAAAAACAGGCTTTTGAAGCACATGCCAGAGAGCGGTGTGTGTGCACAGCAGCTACGCAGCTGGCCCGCTCGGCCTCCCCCTTCCCAGGGTCTGCGTGGCAGGGCGGTCTGGGTGGGAGCCCACCTGGAGGACGTGAAGAGGGACCCGTTGACAGAGCCGAAGCAGGAGAGGCCCACGAAGACAGGGATGATCCAGGACATGACGCCCAGGTGACGCGTCCCAAAGTCCTAGACAGACAGGGAGTGTGGGTCCCTGTGCCCACAGCACCTGGCGGCAGGCTGCGCCCCGAGGCCCCAGCCGTCCTCTTGGCCCGGCCTGACCTCACAGCTTCTGCCTGCTTCTGTCTGCATGGCTCTCCTGCATGTGGTGGGCCTCTCGGGGTCTGGACTGTGGGGGCGTGCCTGGGACAGGACCTTCTTTGGAACAAAAGGGTGCCCTGCACTTCGTGCCCTGCCCCCACTCTCTGGCATGCCCCCTGCACAGCGCCAGGCTGACTGGGGGCCTGGGCCTTGTCCCTGCCAGCGTGTCTGCCCACGAGGGAACGCTGCTGTCACTGGCTGGGTCTCCCACACCAGGCCCAGAGTGGGGCCCAGCGAGCAGGCACTCGGAAAGCGGAGGGGGCGGACGCAGGGTCCCCACAGGCTCTACTTGGGGTCCCACCCTACTTGGTGTAGGAGGCTGCCAAGGCACGCAGCTGGCTATCACCAGGGGCCCCAAGACATGGCTCCTCCTCTGAGCCCTGTGTCCAGAACGCCCAGCAAAGGGGTCTCAGGATGTATCTGGTCAGTGGGTGGGGCAGGCTGCCCAGCCCCATGTCCTGCGCTCTGGGCTGAGGACCTGTTTGCCTGGGCTGGGGCCTTCCAAGCCACCGTGGTCCACAACAGACTCACCACTGCCATGTTCAGCTTCCAAAGCCACTGAGGCCATGGCCTGGGCACCAACACTTTCGAAGATCCCAGGGAAGCCCATGTGTAGTCACGCTTGGGAACCTGGCCCTGGTTTAGCAGAGCTCAGCTCAGCCCCCTGGGGTGGGAACATGGTCCGCAGACGAGGGGCCCAGCCTGCTCTGTGTCACAGGCTCAGAGGTGGCAGGGCAGGCCTCTCAGGGACCTGGCCAGGGCTGGCAGCCAGTCTTACCACGGCCACGGCCTCCGACGCCAGCATCTGCTCGGTGGACAGCGTGGTGAAGTAGGCCAGGTTCGTGAGCACGTACACCAGCGTAACGATGGGCATCGAGATGATGATGGCCAGGGGCAGGTTCCTGGGAGGACAGGGCAGGGGTGTGAGGGCCGGCTAGACCCACAGCCAGGAGCCATCCCAACACACGGTGATGGGTCCTGAGGTCCCTGCGTGGCGAGTGGTGAGACCTGCACTGGCCTGGCCACCAGTACCAGCAGGTGGCTAGAAGCCAGCACCTGGCTTGGGCAATTGTGGGGACGTGGCCTAGTGACAGCCCTGCCAGCCCCGGTGCCCGCCTGCCCACAGAACCCCGTCCACCCCGCTTGGGGTCTTGTTCAAGGTCACAGGCGACCGTGCTGCCAGTCTGAGGCCAGAAACCAGTCCCCCCGACCTGGCATGACCCTAAAGCAAGGCCCTTCTGACTGAGGCTGGGCTGGGCCTGTGGGTGGGCCCCCGGGACTGGGCTGCCCCCTGCTTTCCCGTCTCTGCTGACACACACACCTGTAGGGGTTGATCATCTCTTCGGTAACAAAGTTCAAGTAATTCCTAGAATTTAGAGTGCAGAGGTTAATTGTACATCCCTCCCACTGTTACGGGGGAAAAGCACATAGACTTTGGGGTGCCCCTCTTGGCGGCTCTGGGTGGTAGAGAGCAGGTCCCCTGTCCATGGCCCTGCTTGGTGAGCAGCTGAGGGCATGTGGACACCTACTGGGTCCTGCCTCCGATGGAAAACTGGTAGACCCCCGCCTCATGCCAAGCAGGCCCAACACCCTTGGCCCACTGTCCTCTCCTGGGCAACCAGCACGTCTCCGAGGCGGATGCAGAGCTCAGCCCGAGGGCTCTCATCACTTGTGTGCCTCTGCAGGCACAGACCTGCTTTGTGCAGCTCCTAATGTCCACTCTGAGCACTAAAGGTCAGGGTCAGGCACGGGGCAGCCCTAACGGGACACGTGCTCACACTGAGGGGGCCATCCCGCCAAGTGTGCTCCAGGGCATCCTTGCCGACCACATGGCCCACGTTCCCCGCCCACCCTGCAGCAGTCATAGCACGGCCTGGGCTGAGAGCAGATCCCCAGCTGGGGGCCCAGTTCTGGAAAGCACCGGTGGAGAGCAGTGGGCAGGGGCCCCTCACCCGCAGGGAGAGGCCCAAGTGCCTTCTGCCTCGAGCAAAGGGCCGTCTTCTCAGGGGCCAACAGGAGCTGAGAAAATGCTGAGGGCTGAGCTTTTCTGGGCTGGGTGGGCTCAGAGAGGCCTTGTCCCTGCCAGCGTGTCTGCCCACGAGGGAACGCTGCTGTCACTGGCTGGGTCTCCCACACCAGGCCCAGAGTGGGGCCCAGCGAGCAGGCACTCGGAAAGCGGAGGGGGCGGACGCAGGGTCCCCACAGGCTCTACTTGGGGTCCCACCCTACTTGGTGTAGGAGGCTGCCAAGGCACGCAGCTGGCTATCACCAGGGGCCCCAAGACATGGCTCCTCCTCTGAGCCCTGTGTCCAGAACGCCCAGCAAAGGGGTCTCAGGATGTATCTGGTCAGTGGGTGGGGCAGGCTGCCCAGCCCCATGTCCTGCGCTCTGGGCTGAGGACCTGTTTGCGTGGGCTGGGGCCTTCCAAGCCACCGTGGTCCACAACAGACTCACCACTGCCATGTTCAGCTTCCAAAGCCACTGAGGCCATGGCCTGGGCACCAACACTTTCGAAGACCCCAGGGAAGCCCATGTGTAGTCACGCTTGGGAACCTGGCCCTGGTTTAGCAGAGCTCAGCTCAGCCCCCTGGGGTGGGAACATGGTCCGCAGACGAGGGGCCCAGCCTGCTCTGTGTCACAGGCTCAGAGGTGGCAGGGCAGGCCTCTCAGGGACCTGGCCAGGGCTGGCAGCCAGTCTTACCACGGCCACGGCCTCCGACGCCAGCATCTGCTCGGTGGACAGCGTGGTGAAGTAGGCCAGGTTCGTGAGCACATACACCAGCGTAACGATGGGCATCGAGATGATGATGGCCAGGGGCAGGTTCCTGGGAGGACAGGGCAGGGGTGTGAGGGCCGGCTAGACCCACAGCCAGGAGCCATCCCAACACACGGTGATGTGTCCTGAGGTCCCTGCGTGGTGAGTGGTGAGACCTGCACTGGCCTGGCCACCAGTACCAGCAGGTGGCTAGAAGCCAGCACCTGGCTTGGGCAATTGTGGGGACGTGGCCTAGTGACAGCCCTGCCAGCCCCGGTGCCCGCCTGCCCACGGAACCCCGTCCACCCCGCTTGGGGTCTTGTTCAAGGTCACAGGCGACCGTGCTGCCAGTCTGAGGCCAGAAACCAGTCCCCCCGACCTGGCATGACCCTAAAGCAAGGCCCTTCTGACTGAGGCTGGGCTGGGCCTGTGGGTGGGCCCCCGGGACTGGGCTGCCCCCTGCTTCCGTCTCTGCTGACACACGCACCTGTAGGGGTTGATCATCTCTTCGGTGACAAAGTTCAAGTAATTCCTAGAATTTAGAGTGCAGAGGTTAATTGTACATCCCTCCCACTGTTACGGGGGAAAAGCACATAGACTTTGGGGTGCCCCTCTTGGCGGCTCTGGGTGGTAGAGAGCAGGTCCCCTGTCCATGGCCCTGCTTGGTGAGCAGCTGAGGGCATGTGGACACCTACTGGGTCCTGCCTCCGATGGAAAACTGGTAGACCCCCGCCTCATGCCAAGCAGGCCCAACACCCTTGGCCCACTGTCCTCTCCTGGGCAACCAGCACGTCTCCGAGGCGGATGCAGAGCTCAGCCCGAGGGCTCTCATCACTTGTGTGCCTCTGCAGGCACAGACCTGCTTTGTGCAGCTCCTAATGTCCACTCTGAGCACTAAAGGTCAGGGTCAGGCACGGGGCAGCCCTAACGGGACACGTGCTCACACTGAGGGGGCCACCCCGCCAAGTGTGCTCCAGGGCATCCTTGCCGACCACATGGCCCACGTTCCCCGCCCACCCTGCAGCAGCCATAGCACGGCCTGGGCTGAGAGCAGATCCCCAGCTGGGGGCCCAGTTCTGGAAAGCACCGGTGGAGAGCAGTGGGCAGGGGCCCCTCACCCGCAGGGAGAGGCCCAAGTGCCTTCTGCCTCGAGCAAAGGGCCGTCTTCTCAGGGGCCAACAGGAGCTGAGAAAATGCTGAGGGCTGAGCTTTTCTGGGCTGGGTGGGCTCAGAGCAGCTCCGAGAGGCAGCTGCCCTCTGTCGCTCTCTACGACTGCCCGTGGGCGGCCGAGAGGCTCGGGCTTCTGTGCGTGTCGGGACCCCTGGCCTGGGACCCAGACATTCTGGAACCTACCATCCCCCGTAGGCAAAGAGGCCACTGTACAATGCCAACACTATGTTCCCCACGTCCACCTCGGTGCCTTCAAATGAGGACTTGGGATCCAGATTGGGCACATCACCTGGAAAAGGCCAATGGGACAGAAAGGAATGCTAGGTTAGAGGTCGCCACATGGGGGTCCCACAAGTTCCAAAATGTTCCTGGAGGAAAATACATGGCACCCAAAGAAAACATGGTGCCGAAGCCTTCTCACTGCCACAAATGAAACACCCGTGCTGAGCGAGCTGACCCACCCCAGTCCCCGTTCTCCAGGCTGCGCTGAGCCAGCGGTAAGGCAGGAGTGAGTGCGCGAGCCTGAGGAACACGGCCTGCGAGAGGCCCCTGGCCACCAGGGGTGGGGAAGGCAGCTCTGCAGTCCCTCGTCTGCGTTCTGAGCACAGGTGCTCATTCACACTGAAGAGCAGCTGCCCAGAAGGCGGGCGCAGGTCAGGACGGGTGCTGACGGAGCCTCAGGTCAGGGGCCTGGGCGTGAGTCCTCCCCCTCCCCCGGAGGCTGGCAGAATCTAGATCCGTCCCTGCAGTCAGCTGCGGCTGAGGGGACCACAGTGCCGGCTGTGCCGGGACACTGGGAGATGCCTCCTTCGCCCGGACAGTGAGTTACTGCCTCCTGGACAGGACCCCGGGGGCATCTGAGCCTGGATCCTTCGCTGGACACCAGCAGAGTGGGCCCCTGGACACAGGTGTGGGGGCCGGGGTCTGCCAAGCTGAGCCCACGTCTCTCCCAACCGAGCACTTCCCCCTGGAATGGTCCTGGGTGACCACGTCTTGTGGCCACACAGCCTCCTCTGGCGTGGGCTGCTTGTTAGTTTGGGGACCATTTCTCAGCCCTTCTGGCTCTAGACAATAGGGTCTGTGCCTCTGTCCTGCTGAGAAGCTTGGCTCAGATCCCACAGGGCCAGGCTGGGATGTGACCCTGGGGCTCTACACAGGTCAGTCACCCACCCAAAACTAGCAGGTCTGCAGGTTCCTCTGGGGCGGGGGGATGGAGGACCCCACGGGAACCTGAGGTCCTCAAGGGAGTCCACGCCACCCAGCAGGGTGACTGCCTGTCACCCCCAGGAACACGACAGGAGGGGTGCGAACAGGACCCGGGTGAGGCAGGCTTCCAAACCCTGCCATCTTACCGGATCAAAGCCTGCACTTCAAAGGCAGCACCGGGTTTCCTACAGCAAACACGGAGGTGGAGTGGGGAGGGACCCCCAGTTGCTGTCTCTGGGCTCTGCCCTGGCCCCGCTGGGCTGCTTAGTAGGCTTCTGGTCTCCATCAGGCTGGGAGATGGATGTGAGACCCACACAGCCCCTGCTCCCAGATGAGGCCAGTCTCATGACCGGAATAGGTTCCGTGGCAGCCGGCCCTTCCCCCAACCTGCTGCCTGCACGTGATCCCTGAGGCCCAGGTCCCAGGGCTGCCCGGTCACATGGGCAGTGGACAGGGCCGGCCCAGGACAGCACGCCTTCCACGGCGCCTCGGCAGAGTGCCCAGAGCCCCTCTGCACTCTCTCCGGCTGACCCCCACCCCCATGGAACGTTCTGGAAGTCCCATTCCTCTACACCTACAGCGCTCTGCTGTGTCCCAGCGCCTTGCCCAGAACTTCTGCCGCGGGAGCTGCCAGGCACACAGTGGGCACCTGGGACCGCGAGGGGCGGGCGGGTCTCACCTCTGGAAACTGCGCGCGAGCTCCCGTCCACCCCGCCCAGACCTGTTCTGGAGCGGGTGCTCCTAAGAGTCCGGCGAGCCTGTGACCTGCGGGCCATTCCTGCCGTCGGCACACTTCGGGGACACTGAAGGCCTCTCAGGAGAAAGGCTCCTTACAAGTAAAGCGATTTGTCTTGAATTCGTGACTTTCTCATTAGTGTGACCCACGGTCCTAGTGGGAGAGACGCTTCCACCTCTCATCTATCATTTACATCAGGCTTTTCACATACACTGACCAGGTTTTGGGCAGTTGTCAAGACCGGTCCCCACCGAGTGTGCTCCTGACTTAGGGACTTCGTGAGTGTACATGTGCGTACGCAGCGCGTGTGCACTGGGCTGGAGGCCTGATCTGGCTGCTCCACGTTCCCCTGGGCTGTCCCAACCCTGTCCCCTCCCTGCCGCCTGCCTCCCACAGACACGGCGAACCCCACTGTGAACCAGGACAGAGGGGGGGTTCAGGAGTCGGGGGCAGAGCTCCCGGGCTCGGCCTCAGATTGTGCAGGACGCCAATGCAGGTCGGAGACCTGCATCCTCAGTGGACACCCACCAATGCTGGCCAAGCACACCAGCCTTACTCATCGGGGGCAGTGGAGCGGGCGCCGGGCCTGCTGGCTGGGTGCGGCACTGGGCCCCACGGGGCTGGCATGCCTGAAGGAGCCAGGGTGACTGCTCAGGGACTGCGCTCTGCCTGCCCTCGCATCCTGGTGTCCAGCCAGGGCTGGAGCCCTAGAAGCAGGTGGGAGTTAAGGTGGTTTGGGGAGCTGGTGGGAGCGCTGCCTGCCTCTGGCCGTGGAGTGAGGCTGCCCCGCTTCGTTTGATGAGGTGCAGCAGCAGCTGCTCGGGCTGCTGGCCCATGGCCACCCCGGGGCGGGAGCAGGAGGGTGCCCCACCGCCAGCAGGGTGGGGGTGGGAGGACGGGAGGCAGTGCCTTCCCAGAGTACAGGCACCGGACTCCACGTGGTGCTCTCAGCCCCCACTTGCCCTGGTGGCCAGGGGGCATTCGGCTCCACCTGCAGACGGGGCTGCCATGCTGGGGGTTGGAGGCCGGGTGCTGCTCAACACCGTGCAGCACGCAGGACAGCCCCACGGCAGATGGCCCCGATGGCAGGAGGACCGCAGGGCGATGACGGATGCCTGGCCCACATGCCATCACTCCCATAGCCAGGCCCGGCTCGCCAGCGGCTCCCGGCCTCTCCCACAAACCCCAAACCGGGGCACCATATCCTTGTTTCAGCAGAGCTCTCGGGCCCAGACAGACGCAGATGAATGACTGTTACAGCCTGACAGAGGAGCTTGGGCTCCCGGCCCTGTGCAGTCCACACAGCCCCCAGGCCCCAGGACGGCAGGCAGGAAGCTGTCACGATGGACAGATGGAGGAAGTGGGGGTCGTCCCCCAGCAGCAGCACTGGGGTGTGGACACCCTGGGACCCCAGTTTACACGGCCCTGGGCCACCACCACTTCTCTGGGCCTTTCTGCAGAGCCCACGGCAGCACCTAACCTGCTGCCTAAACAGCAGGCGGCTTGCACCCCGGTGGGCCTGAAGGCCCATCACCTGCAGGTCTGCCCTAAAACACAGCCGCCAACGGGCCCTCCCTAGGGGCCTGTGGGTATGTGAGAGCACGGGGGCCTTGGGAGCCGGGCACAGCCCGCCTCCTCCCCCTCAGACCCCCCCAGAACCAGGGTGATTGGGGCGGGAACATTCAGAAGGCCCCAGGGAGCTGATTTCAGGGAAAGCCAGCCACGATCCCTGAGTCACATGGCCATGCCGTGGGAACCACTGACGGGGTGAGGGATACACTTCCACCCTTGGAGAAGCCTCCTGGCCAGCAGGAGGCCTGGTGGGGCGCCCAGCGGCTGTGTGCAAACGGGGCCAGCACCAGGCCGGGGATGCGTCAGCCCATGGACTCCTCGATCAGAGGACAAGTGCTCCCCGGGCTCTGCATCCCGAGGCCTTGCCCAGCCTCCGTGTCGGGGGGAAGGCCCGCTCGACTGCTCACCAGGGCATGGCGGGTCCAGGCTCGGCCTGCGGGCTCAGGCGGTGCCCACCACGCTGGAACCTTCCGCCTCCAGCCGCACTGTAACCCCGGGTGACGGCCCTCTGCGTCACCAAGCGCACCGAACAGGGGCCCTGCCAACATCACGCCCACCCCAAGCCTCAGGAGGCCATGTGAGGATGCAGGCAGGGGCCGGAGGCAGGAAGGCTCCATCCCCACAGGCTTCTGGGGAGGGTGGCCCTGCCTTTGGACTTCCAGCCCTAGGCAGTGCAGAATTTCTGCTGTTTAAGCCCCTCATTTGCGACAGACAGCAGCCCCAGGACCCTGCAGGGACCACCTGAGCCGTACCCCGTCCAAGTCAGACCTCCCAGGTCCCTCCCCGCTCCTCACAGACATGGTCAGACTCTGGAAGAGCCGTGGTCTTGGACTCTGCTCAGCGACCCTGGGCTGAGGGGCAGGTGCCAGCCTCGGTGTGCAGCTCTGTAAGACAGGCTGACCCTCCCACAGGGGCTTGCGACCCCTGCCCTTAGGGGCTCGGGGTGGGGAAGCACGGGGACTCTCTCTTGCTCCACCCACGGAGGGCCGCATCCCACACTGGCTCACGGGCTCCCTCCTGCCCCGGCCCTGCCCCAGGCTGCATGCCTGGTATCCAGGAACAGTGTCAGGGCAGGAATCCGGGCTTGGGGGAGACTCAGAGACGCGGTACTCACCCACCACCACGGCATCTGTTCATGCCGTCACCCGTCTTTTAAAGCTTGCAGGAGGCAGCCCGGTGGCCTCAGATTGGCTCCAAACTTGAGTCCCGGTTGGAAAGGCCCCACTCTCCAGTGCCCAGGCCGCCAGGGCTCCTGGGAACTAACTGCCCAGCACAGGGCTCTGTGGCTGCCCACCCCAGGGTGGTAGCGGGAGGGAGCCCAACTCTCAGGCCTTGGATTTCACGTGAGGGCGGCCCAGGCAAAACACATGACCCCAGATCTGTGAGGGCTCTGGACACAGACCGAGCTCCACGCCAGGCAGGCCAGACTCCACTGAGGACCACCAAAGGGCAGCCACAGGAAGGGACAGCCTGCCCCACTGGGGGTCCCGGGTCTGCCATGTGGCCAGCCGTGCTGGGTGCTCAGTGAGGAGCAGACCGGCCTGGGGGCACCAACCACTGGCAATGGCCCTGCCCTGCCCCATGACCCTGTCCCTGCCTCCCAGGGCAGAAGGCCAGTGCAGAGCACCAGGCAGCACCCGTGAAACCTGCCCTGAGGTCCTCCCGAGGGGGAGAACAGGCCTGGGGGCATGCAACATGCCCACCTTGCCGCGAGGGACGCCGTAGCTTCCTCCAGCTGGAGGGGGTCTCCCTGGACCCCGGATCCCCCAGTCACTGTGGGACAGTGTCAGGACACAGGAGACAGCCCACAGGGCCCAAGAGCCTCTGCTCACAGTACAAACCACGCCTACTGGCAGGGGGGCCAACATCCCAGCGGCAGGGTGAGCCTGTGTGAGCTGGGGGCCCGGGCCAGGGCTGCTGGGCACAGGGGAGACTTCTCCACCCACGACCTCCCCCTGGGGGAGGCACTTGGCTCCCGCACAATATGGGAGGAAGGCGTTCCGCTGGACCTCTTTATCTGGGCTCTGTAACTGCTCAAGGGCACGTGAGCCCCTCCCGCACTGATGCGCAGCCTGCGCAAAACCTCAAGGCTCCCAGTGTGTGCCCCCTGGGAGGGACCCGGGCACAAGGGATGGGCCTTTCACACCCCACTTTCACCGTCCAGTCTTGGAAACGCCCACCAGTGTGAGGACTTTGAAGACAGGGCCGTGGGGCCGTGGCCCCTGCTGGGTACGTCATAGGTGAGGGGCCAACAGATAAAAGGACAGAGGAATGTGGGGCAGCCCAGAGGTACATCCTGAGCCACCACGCCTGCCTGCTTCTCTGAGGCTCCCTGGCCGTGCTGCCGCCACCCCCACACACTGTGACCACTCGCATTCAGTGCCCCCTCTGAAGATGCCAGGGGCATGAACATGCCCCGTGTGGGCCGGACCCCACATGCCCACCTCCGGGACTAGCCCAGCCACAGGGCAGCCGGGGCTCCCGCCACACCTAGGACCATGGCCCCGGACCCTTGCGCCACACTGCCTGCCCGCACCCAGGCCTGCTCTTCTGGGGCCTCCTGACGGGGCTGCAGCCCCGTCTGTGATTCCCGTCCACAGGTCGTTGCTGCCTGGTGTCCCGAGCACAGTGCAAGCTCTGGACGGCAGAGCCGTGCTCAGGGGCTTGACCAGCTCTGGTGAAGGGCGACGGGGAGAGTGGGGGTCAGGCTTCTTGGGGCCTGGCAGCAAGGAATTGAGCCGGCAGCCCCGGGCCACGTGCCGGATGAGCCGAGGAGGAAGCTGGCTTCAGGGCTGGGTGGCTGGGGCGGCCTGGGTGGAGGAGAGACAGGCCAGGACCAGCCTGTGAGGTGGCGGGCCACGTTCTCTGGTGGCCAAGCAGAGCACCTGTGAGCTGAGCTGCTGCCTGAAGGGCCTGGGCCTTCCCGCCACCATCGGCGGGGTCTGCGGTGTCTGGGCCCCTGCCCCACTGGAGGTCACACCACTGACTCCCTCATGAGAGAAAGGGGTCAACGTTCTCAACAATGCATCCTGTAGGGGAGAAGCCATTCATCTGGGAATCAAATAAATCTTTGAAGGAAAGCAAGAGACAGGAATTTTGCAGACACTGCACTGTTATCCCCAGTTCAGAAATGAACCGCTTCAGGGGACGTTTGACAGCAACACAATTGTAAGCATATTGTGTATGCAGGCTGAACAAAAGCTCTTTGCTATCCCTACTAGAGTTTGTTTTTACAAAAGTCAAGCCCCTCACATTCCTCGTCCTTCTGTATCTGATCATCCCAGCCGAGCACATACCTTTCACAAGCCCGCCTCCTCTCAATGACCTACTTCCCGGCAGGACAAAGTCTGGTGGGCACAAGATGGCTTTTTCCTGCTACCACAGGTCCTGCCCGGCGGAGCTCTCCCTGAGGCTGGGGGTCACTAGGCCCTCGCCAGGGCCCCCAAGCAGTAAGGGAGGAAACAGGTCTTGTCTTCCAGAAGAGGCAGGACCCGAAGCCTCAGAAGGGCTCTCGGTGTGGTGGCCACGTGGGGAGCAGCAGGGCACTGACCAAAGGTGCACCCTGGGCCTGCCTGTAGGCCATCCGCTGGCGCTGTTTCAAGGACTTCCTGGGGAACCTGACACCAGTGAGGCCCCGAGTCCCACCTGCCCTCCCACCCCCGCCCAGCACACACGGGGCTGTGGGGGGCGCTGGCTGTGTCCTCATGGCCACCTCCTCTGAAGGGGCTCAGGGCCCTGCCCAGCCCCCGTGGGATCGCTGATCTGGGGAAGCCATGCAGATGCCCACTCTGGGCCACTGTCCCCCCCTGGGGAAACTATACTGTTCACCCAGAGGCACCTATGAGAATGCTCCTGACAGCATTTCCCTGGTGGCCAGAAACAGGGGCTGACCCCACCCACTCCCACCCACAGAATGACGAGCCACAGCACATTTACGAAGAGCGAGCCCAGCACCGGGAGGGAGCACGCCCCCGAGCGCCACGGTACACCGGGACAGATGAGCACAGTGGGTGCTGGAGGTTTCACATCCCTGTGGGGTGGCCACAATCCATCCACCGGGCACTTGGTGCGCTTGTGAGCCAGATCTACGGCCATAAGGGACAAGAGGAGCCAGACTCCTCACCCCCCGGGATGCCGGGCACAGTGCGAAGCTCGCCTCCAAGCCCCTCGTCACCATGTGTGGACAGGAGCACAGGGCTCCGGGGCACGGACGGACCCATCTCTCCCCGCCACTCTAGGACCGATTCAATTTGTTGGGTGACATTCAGCCTGACGATGTGTCGGTGCCTCTCCTGGGATGGAGTGACCGGCTCACGTGCACCAGTTCAAAGGAAACACTACGTGCTAGCACAGCAGGGCGGGGGGGCATTCAGATGGGGGGACCCGACTGGCCGTGCAGCAGGCCCAGAGGCCGCACTCACCCTTTCCGATCTGGATGAAGCCGAGCAGGATGATCAAGGCCAGCGCCAGGAGCTTGGCGGCAGCAAAGGCGTCCTGGACCCGCGTGGCGGCCTTCACGCTGTAGCAGTTCACGGCCGTGAGCAGCACTGTGGGGGTGGGGCAGAGAGTGAGCCCGCGGCCCGCCCAGCCCGCCAGTGGGCCCTCGTCTGCCAGGCCCTGCCTGACGGACCTCCAGGCCCAGGCTGAAGCCCGAGCGCCACGCATCCCTGACTCTCAGAAGGGCCAGGTGCCCCCTGGGCTGCAAGGCGGATTTTCTTCTAGAGGATAGAACATGAACCTCCTAGGTACTATCACAACGGTCCACCTTCCTCCCGTTTCCGCTGTGGGGTGCACACCTGAGAGGCCCCCAAAGGTTGGGGCCTGCCATTTGGAGCATGAGCCAGTTGTTCACCTGTTTGCACCCAAGTCAACGTTCTGGCATAATTCACTGGATTCCCGCACAGCCTACCAGACTTCCTGAAGGTAGAAAGCCCCTTTGCAAAGAATATTCTAGAATTCCAGAGGAAACAGGCAAATGAGGGAGTCTGTGAGCATTAACCCATGTGACAAGCCAAGTAGGGCCACGGAGCAATGTTGGTGCCTGGAATGGGGGCTGAAGGTGAAGCCCCAGCTCAGGGGAGTCAACAGGCAGGTACCACTCAGGTACCGGTTCTGCACCATTTCACCGGCATATCTGACACAAAATCACACCAGTCACTGGTGGCTTCCCCTGACCTGGAAGGGAGTGGAGGTGGGGGACACAGGCTGGCAGCTAAGCCAGGCTCAACGAACTTGTATGCCTGGGCTCCGGGGTAAGACCCCCAGCCCCCAGCCGAGGGCATCTGTTGAGATGCTCAGGGGCCTGGGAGTTAAGTGCCCAGGGACCACGGTGATATAGCCACGCTGGTCAGCTGAGCAGTTCCATCGAGACGGAGGCAGCACCGCAGGCCGGCGGCTGTCACCGTCCAAACTCTCTGGGCGGCTGCTGCTGAGCCAGCACATGGCTCTGTGCTCGGTGTCCTCGTGGAGCTGAAGTCGGCGCCCAGGAGCATGTACACCAGGATAAAGCCGGCCAGGGCCTTTTCCTGGAAGCCTGCCGGTTAAACCTAGACCAGCGTGGCCTGGGCCTGCGCGAGTGCCTCCCTCCACAAGCCAGCTCTCGCCCACTGCCCCTCCGCTCCTCTGCAGGGGAAAGGCCCCCTGCTCACCCTTTCTCTTTTCTGGAAAGAACCAATGGAGGCCTGGCCGACCCCAGGTGGCTTTCTTCCCCAGCTGCGTTAATTAAATGCAGCTTTAAATTTGAAGACTATGCCCCAGTGAAATAAATCCACTCATTAACTGGATGTAGCCACCAGCTCAGGTAGAAGGCAGACGGGAGCCCTGGGGAGCCCTGGGTGGGGCTGAGGGCCTCAGGCAGGCCTGCCTGCCACTAGTCCCTCCCGGAAAGTAGCTGACACTTCCCAGCATCCTCCTCCCTCATTCTTACTTTACGCTCCTAAATCTGGCTGATGCAATAACGCAACACTGCTGACCCAGGCTGTGTTCTCTGCATTAAGGAAGTTCAGGTGGAAAATGGTTTTTAAAGTAGTGGCTTTTAGCCGCCATTCCTAAGCTGAAATGCTCAGGAGTTCCCTGCACCACGTGACAGCAAAAGGCTGTGACCCGATCTGGTGTGGCCCTCACTTGGGGGGACCCTGGCTGAGCCCCCAGGGCTCCTAAGCTGTGGTTTCTGCACCTCAAGGCTTGTCGTCAGGGGTGGTGGGGTTAAACAAGGCCATGAGAATGTGGGGCTCGTGACGCACGTCATGGTCCTGAAGCCACCTCGCCTAGCAGGGGCTGAGCCTGGGCCAGGAAAGGCCCAGACAAGGGGGTGATGTGTGCACAGGGCCAACAACAGTGACCTTTGCTCTGTGGCTCTGGGTGGGCACAGGCTCGGTCCAGGCCCTCAGATCTGATAGAGAGGAGCCACTCCTGGCACAGAAGAGGCAGAGACTCAGAGGCCACCTGTCCAAGGTGCCAGGGCTGAGCCCCAGGTCCCGGGCCGTCTGACGACCCACCGCAGGACCACAGGGAAGGGTGGGGAGAGGGTAGGTAGCAGAACCCCTTTTCTTGGGTTTCCTGGGACAAGCTTTCAGGGTGGTGCTCTGGGGCCCCCCTGCCTCGGAGCTGTGCCTTCCTGCCACCGGGTCCCAGGAGCCTTGGCCCAACGAGAGGGGGTGTCCAGGGGCTTTTCCGTGA